ACTAAAGAAAGTTTTTGAGCGATTGCGACAAGACAAGCTAACCTTTAAAACCAAGCAAATGCGAATATTTGAAAAAAGAAATCAAAATACTAAGATTCAAAGTAAAGGAGCAAGGCATATTACCAGATGAAGAGTTATTTGCATAAAAGAGTTTCCGACGCCAAAGAAAATTAAAGATGTACAGAGCTTTCTAGGATTATGTAATTTTTATAGAAAATTTATACATAACTTCGCATCAATAGCAAGACCGCTACATGAAGTTACAAGAAAGAACATAGGGTTCAAATGGGGTTCTGAACAAAACAAAGCATTTAACATTCTTAAAGAAAAACTGGTTTCCGCACCTGTGCTACAACATTTCAATCCAAATAAAGATACCATTTTGCACACCGACGCAGCAACATAAGGAATTGGGGTAGTACTTTTACAAGAAGACGACAAGGGAGAAGCACATCCAATAGCCTACATAAGCAGAAATCTTTCAAATAGCGAAAAAAACTATTCAATTAGTGAATTAGAACTCTTAGGCGTAGTGTGGGCATTGAGCTATCTGAGACACCTAATTTACGGACGACCAGTAAAAATCGTTACTGACCACCATGCTCTTTGCTGGATGGACTCCATTGAGGAAAGCAACAGACGCTTGGCCAGGCGGGCACTAAAACTTGCAGAATTCGATTACACGGTTGTATATAAAAAAGGCTCAACACATAACGAAGCCGACTGTATGTCCCGCAATCCAGTGCTTCAACCAGAATCCCAGGAAAAAGAAGAGCAAGAGGAGCGCCTCACATTCGCACACTAAAATCAGTACAAACGGCTACATTACAGGAAAAAGACCCAAGTCTAAAACAAATATTCAACGCTATAAGAAACCCAGACGACCCAGAAATTAATATTGGCATCAGAAGAAGAGCAAAAAATTTTAGGATTGAAAAAGACTTCTATAAAATAAATAATAATAAAACAAAAAACGGTTAAAAAAAGTATTAGTAGTACCAAAATCAATGAGAGAAGAAATTATGTGGGAGCTACATGCATCACCGACAAGTGGACACTTGGGACTAAGCAAAAAAGGACAAAATTAAAAACAGATTTTTTTGGGACGGAATGCTAAAGGACATCGAAAAATACGTTAAGGGATGCCCACATTGCCAAGCTAGAAAGGGGCAACCTTACAGAAAAAACGCCAGGGATGTCAATACCGGTGGGAACAATTTTCGACAAAATCGGAATTGATCTTGTAGGCCCATTTAGAAGAAACAGAAAAGGGAAAACAATGATAGTTATAGTTACCGATTACGCCTCACGCCGCCTTATCGAATGAAAAAGCCGGACCAGTTGCAAATTTTTTACTGGCAAAAGTATTCTTGATACACGGAATGCCAAGTTCTGCTCAGCGACAGAGGAAAAGTTTTTCAATCGGAATTAGTAAGGGAATAAGGAAAATTAATGGCAGTAAGAAGCCAGTTTACAACCGCATACCATCCTTGTTGTAATGGTCTCACTGAAAGGCTAAATAAGACAATAGCTCACATGTTATCCATGTATTGTAACACACAGCAAACGGACTGGTGTAGCTATCTACCATTTATAACATTTGCTTATAATACAGCAATTCAGGACACAGCGAGATTTAGCCCATTTATGTTAACATATGCAAGGGAACCCACACTACCAGCAGAAGCTGCATTGTTGGACGCTGACAACGAAACGGACGCTGACAACGAAACGGACGCTCTGCAAATTAGAGAAAAGGCACTCTTGATAAGAGCCATATCAATAGAAAATATACGAAAAAGACAAGGAAAAGATAAGGGACGCTTTGACGAACGACATAGAGAATTAGATTTCGTAGTTGGAGACAAAGTTAAGGTGTTCATATCAATTAGAAAGGTTGGAAGAAGCAAAAAATTACTCTGAAGATGGTTTGGACCATACAAAGTAATTAGAAAAATGGGAGAAGTGAATTACGAGGTACAAAAGATTGGAAGCAGAAAAAAAGATACGGTCCACGTGAGTAGGATGTTACCCTACTACGATCCATGGACAGAAGCTGCGCCTATTGAAGAAAGGGTAGATGAGACAGATATAGCTGAAATCTGAAGGATGAAGGAGAAGAGGAAGGAAGTGAGAAAGAAAATGAAGGCAGAGAAGCCGAAAACGTGGCAGAAGCAGACTGATTGTAAAGATAAAACATAAGCAAAACTATGAAGTAGGGAAATAGGAAGTAGGGATAGGATGAAAAAATAGAGTAAGACATTAAAGAGAGTAAACAAGGAGGGATGGAGAGGAATATAAGAGGAAACTAGTGGATGACCTCATAATTCTAAGGGAAGATAGAGAATATGAATTACTATAAAAGAAGAAGAATCAGAAACATTCTTATCGACGGAAGAAGCCGCCGAAGGGATCTTAGAAAAGTACGAGCTGCAAAAAGAAGGCATATGGGTATACAAAAAACAAGTTGGACTAAACTTACCTGTTAGAGCCATGATCAACAAATAACGAAATGATGAAATTTGGTGGCCCGGATGTGGGTCATAATTAAACTATGTAATTATAGGAATAAGCACATTTTTTTAAAAATATTATTTTATTTTTTGCATGTATATACAAAACCACCAACCAGGGACGGACTACAAAACAAATTCGAGGGAAGGCATTATAATAGAAGGATCTAGCTCTGGACTGAGCAGGGGCTAGAAACTTCAAACCAGAAGAAACAAATGGGTATGGACCAAAAGTAGACAGACCACAGTACCATTTCCACCACACTCACAAAAGAAATGATCAAGGATTACTTGGGCCGTGGGACCGCGCAAACCCACGACCCAGATGACCAAATCACCAGGAAGTACTTAGAGTCAGAACCAATCCACTTGAAAGACAGAATACAGCACAATGAACAAGAGAGAAGCATAACATACCAGGAAACGACACTTAGACCGTGGGACCGTTAACACCCCACGATCTAGTTGATCCACCAAGAAGTATTTGGAACCAGAACAGACCCACCATAGTAAAGTTGATGAAATTTCTTAGTTGTAAGATACTTTTTTTTTTTTTGTAGTAACCTGAATAATAATGCAGCCTGACCCATCCCACCATAAAAAACTTTTCCTACAACTGCCTCTGAAAATGGAGTTTTTTGCACGCTAGCCGACCTCCGAAAATAAAGTTTTTCGCACGCTCCTCAGTGTGTGAAAAAGTTTTTCACACGCTGCTAATTTTTTTTAAAATTTATTTTAGTCCTGTCATCCTGACATGACAACATAAATTGCGATTGTCACCAATTTCCGATGCTGATGATTTATTTTCTAACAAATAAAAATTACATATTTGGTTGTTTTATTTTTCACACTCGCTCGACTTGTGGACCTCGCCTACAGCTCGGTCCTACAAACTGTCTCGCCGTGCGAAAAAAATCGTTTTCAAAACTTGTTGTTTAATAGTATATTACATTACTAGTGTAGAAAGACGAGTGTATGAAAGACGCTTTTTCACAAGTGATGTACACCATTTTTCCTACGACCAGAAACCAATTTACACCAATTTTCTCTTATTTTTTTTTTTTTCAACACACGTACTGAAAGTACTTTCAATACACGTATTGAAAGTAAATTGTGATGTCAAATGTCAATCGCAAATAATGTCAACAGTATTTTCCACACGTGTGCTGAAAGTACTTTAAGCACGGGTATTGAAAGTATTTTCAGCACGCGTGTGATATTTAGCGCTTTCCAAAGAACCAACTAGTGCGGATTTTGTCATTTTCGTATGTGGTCGTAGGAAAATAACTATTTGTTAATTTTAATTTTTAATTTTTTTTCTATACTCGATATTTAGATTGTTAAGCAGGGATATTTTATAATTAGGATATTTTTAGGATTGGGATATTATTGTATTTTTTGACATTATTATGGTATTTGTATATATTTTGTTTTAAATGTCTCTTCCAAGCATTGGGGTCCAATGCTTCATGGAGGGGGGGGTATATGTCAACTAGCTGCTTAGGAAAGGAGAACCCGGTATTCAACCTTATTAATTTAATTGCCGATTCGATCGGATGTTTATTGCAATTCAGCAATAAACAGATATAAATTGCGCTGCAAGCTGCAGCAAAGGCAAACGTAAACCAGTGCAACTACCTCTCGTTGAGAAAGCCCCTCTGGAATTAAGTCTCCCCAGTGCAAGTACCCCTCGTTGGGAAAGCCCCTCTGGGTATCTTCAGCCTTATCGTTGTCCAGTGCAATTACCTCTCGTTGGGAAAGCCCCCCTGGACAAGGCATAAGGGTGACGATAACTAATCGACAGTCCCCCAAGCAGCGTTGACGTGTGGCTTCCTATAAGGGCCCCAGTGTTCGAAGGGCCATGCGTCTTATAGGACTAGCGTAAATGTAAGGGCATATTTGGGAAAATATGTATTTACACTTTTATATAACTTGAGCGAGTTTCTCCCCATCGACCCCCAAAGCTACAAACCCCCCATGTCACCCCCGTAAAGCGGGCAGTTGTGACAATATGCAGCAGCTAATTTATAAGTTATAAATTAGAATTAATTTCTTCAATTGTTTGTTGTTAAAATTGTTATAAGTAGTGTTACCGAGGTTATTGTTACTCTTGTCAGTTCTTATTTATTGTATTGTTTAATAGTTGTTATTCAATACATAGAATAAATACTTTCTATAAATATGACAACAGCGCAATCATTGAATTATAATTTCCTCCTATTTCAGGTAAATTTTGAAACTTGGCAACACTGTTAAAAAAAAAACTTTATAAAAATTGATGAAGTTCTGTGAAAACCGCATATCGATATCTTTTTTCGATCTCGACTTATAAGCAGGTGAAATGTGTCAGTTTATAGATGGACACCCTGTATAACAGGAGTTTTGTTACCTGCTACAAATCTCCTACCATTTCCTGTCAAATGAATCAATTTGTGTCAAGCAATAATTCAAAGTAGTCAAATCATTCGTAAAATTATTATTTTGAGCATGGAAAATAGAGTGTTTGCCAAGTGCAAAATTTGCCAAGAAACATTCGATACCGATACGCTTCTTCAAAACATCAAAGATAATTATTTCTGTAGAAACTGTTTCAAGGAAAGTTTTTTTGTCAGAAGCAGACCCGCGGCTCAAGGTGATCTAGGAACTCAAAAGAAAACCGAAAGTGAGTTTATACCAAATCCCGACCAATATGTTACGAGCAATAAACATCATTTGCCATCTTTAGATGGTTTTTCAACTTCCAGCGTAACGTCTATGTCTAGATTGCCTCTTCAATGTCCCTGCTGCTACAACCACGTTTCAATGTCTACACTGGAACATCATTTCAAGCGCGACCATAGTAGTAAAGTACCAATTGTCTCGATCGACTTGGATATGTGCTGTGCATCTGAATTTGATCCTGAACTTATACAATATAAAGCTCCGCAATGCTTTTTTCTTCTTAAATTGCAAAATGTCGGAAGGTCCTACGATAGTTTAAATGAAAAGCCGATGGTATTAATTATAGCTGCTAGACTATCGTGTAAAGATATTGATTCAGATAGCGAGGACTCCGAATGTGACGACGATGATAGTTCACTTAATTCAGATAAAGTTTCAAGACAAGGAGATCAAATCATAATATGGGCGGCTTGTAATATTCAAACAACTCTCAGCTGTACAGTAGCAGTTTCGATGATCAATAAAGAAATTCGCAATAAATTTTTCGGGAAAATGTTATGTCTTCAAGAAACGCCTCAAACAGTTTGTAAAGAAGGATATGGTCTGATGCTTAGTCATCTTCAGTGCCAAGGAATGACCGAAAATGGAAGAAAGCCCCTCGTTCTCGAAGTTGTAGTTCACAGTCCATAATTATGTGGTTTAAATATTTTTGTATAATATGTATCTACTTATTTGCATTTACTTTTTTTCTACTTGAAATACATCTTTTACACCTTGATGCCATTTCAATTGAATACACAGTATGGCGTGTTCGATGTCAAAAGTATGAACCCTGGTGAAACGAACCTTAGGTATGTTTGAATATCGATCAATGATTTCAGACTGGTATTTTCTGATATTTTTTTGCCAGTAGGTAGCTATTTATAAATATATCACATTCATTTTTGCTCCTGGCTGAGGTCGTCGCTCTGAATGAAAAAAGGAACATCCGGATGCTTCCGCCAAATTTTAGGAAGGAACACGATCTATGGATTCACATCATCAATTGGTCCAGATTATGAAATCGATCAAAAAAAAACCTATATTCTGTTTCCTTTTCGTTCGGAGCACAGAAAAAAGAAAAAATGGATCGAGAACCAAGCGATCATAAAGCATAGGTGGCTATGAAAACCAGGTAACTAAATATGTTGGGTTATTGCCTGATTTCGTCAATTGACGTTTTCAATTTAAACAGATGGACGGTAGTATGAAAACATACATTTTCCCGCCACATTTTTGCTTGATTATCAATGTCATTGATTTGAATTTGATGCAATAGATTTGATGGAGATTTATGGAAAGACAAATTCGCCGGTGAATAGGAATTATTTAAACGAAAAGGCACACTACACACAATCACCATTGTTAGGAAAAAACCGAGGAAATAATAGTTTCCAGTTTCTACTTGTCAACAATCCACTGTCAACGGCTGTCAACCATTGTTTTCATACTCTTTTGACGTCTGACGCCAGAGAGAGAGGCTTCAAATTGAAAAGGTCAATTCAGTATGAATTTTGGAATTGTGAGTAGTGTATGCATATTGTACGTATCTACATGATGCACTTATGCATCAGATGCCTTCAACTACTATCCGATGTATAGTCTCCACATCACATGTGCCAATATGACAGAGGGATGAGAGAATCAACAATCTATAGATTTCTTAGCGAATGAAAAACTGATAACTCTGTGAAAGGAGTAATCATTAATTTATGATACGCTGGTGCCGGATTTGTTCCAAAATATCAGACTAAGCCCCTGTTGAAGTTTTATGACACTATTGCATTTAAGCCGGTACCTACCGAGTTTGTCGGTGAAATATTGTTAAAACTACCTGGCTTATGCTTCTGTTAAATTTACGTATTATGCAATACTCACCCTGTTTTCGACCCTGTTTTTGTATATTTAAATTTATAATAAGATTCTGAGCTCCTAGCGAAAAGGAAGGAGACCACACCTAGTTGACTGAGAGTGATTGTAGGAATAGTAGGAATAACCGAGAATGCAAGATCAATAGACAGGAACTTCTCAATCATGCACGAATTTGAACAAAAGTGTTACCGTACCCTATACGGGGGCAGTCAAACTTTGCGGGATCTTGAAATTAGTACAGTTACGTCCACTAATTGCTTGGAGTTTCGCAAACAAGACACAAGAGGAACAACAGAGGCCAACACCACATATTTCAAACGTTAAAAATCTTTTAGAGACAATAATATAACCTTCTTCAGATCAACAAACGACTTTGAAAAAAGAGCTAACAAAGACAAGGAAAATCAAAAAGGCACGAAAAACTAAATATACAAACAAGACCAGGATATTAGACACATAAGTTTCAACCGGGTACAAGCTAATTCGTCTTATTACTCCCTATGTGTCTAGTGAGTTGGTCCGGTCTGAATAAGTAAGTACTATGCAAATGTTGTAGATTGTAGAATGTGAAGGTGGGGTGTTTATGTTATGGACCTCCCCGCCTGCGAGTTGGCGAGGCTAGGCTTTTGGCAAAACCTACAATACGGCGAGCGAAATTTGATCATGGCGTTATTTAAGACTAGGATTCAGCACTATGTAAAAGTACTACCGTCTAATAGGCCGACCAAAAATCAGTTAGTTGGGAAAACCCAAAATAGGGAAAACAAGTTTTCTCCTATTATCCACTAATGTGAAAATTTTGGATTAATTTTTTTTCATCCACAGACGCGTTTCGATCTCATCAGTGTGGCTAGGAAAGCAAAGAAAACCAATCCAAGTTTAGTGCCTGCAGGCAAAGTAGAAGTAACACATCAGTGGATAATAGGAGAAAACTTGTTTTCCCTATTTTGTGTTTTCCCAACTAACTAATTTTTGGTCGGCCTATTAGACGGTAGTACTTTTACATAGTGCTGAATCCTAGTCTTAGATGGCGCCACGATCAAATTTCGCTCGTCGTATTACTTCTACTTTGCCTGCAGACACTAAACTTGGATTTACTAAGGTCAATCATTTCCTTTGCCTTCATTGACTAGGGCGAGATGAATTGTTTCGCCTGTCTATGTCTACGGAAGCGTGTTCCAGTGAAGCGGGAGGCTTATTGAGCCTTTATCCAATTCTGTATTTCCCGTATTAAATGGCTTTTCGTAATGCCAAAGAAGGATTCTGGAATGCAAGTTGGTTCGCCATTTCATTCCCCTTCGACCCCTGGGCTGGAACTCTGTAACGACTAGAGATTTTTTCTCTATTTCTATTGACGTCTCCTCTCTATTGATTTCGACAAGAAAGAAGAAGACAGCAAGTGCGATAGTGATAACGATCCTTATCCGTTACAGAGTTCCAGCTCTGGTACCCATGTCAGAGTATGACTCTATTGAGAGACACCAGTTGCTTTAGTGTTCGTCGATTTTTATCTGACACTTTCCGTATGAGGAGCGAGAAGGTGAAGTATATGGCAAACACAGGTATGACGTCAGGTGACCATTGGCGTTCTAATGTAGGGTGCCACCAGCTCACATTCATTTCGAGTATCAGATTAAAATCGATGGACTTTAGGAGTTGTTTGCAGTCCCATACTAGTTTGAACTTAGTGACAGAGCTACTCAGAGCTCTTAATGCTGCCTGACTACGGAATTGATGTAGATCTTCTTTTTTCGCAGTTCTCTTTCGAGAAACTTTCTAGCGCAAAGTTCTATCGCGAATATTTCCGCTTGAAATATGGTTGGGCTTTCTCCTAGGGCTGTTGATCGTCTACAAATTGGACCGTATACCCCTGCTCCAGTTCCTTGCTCTGTTGACGATCCGTCTCTATACCACACAGATGACCCGTTCGGAAATACATGTACGATATTTTCTCCCTTGCGGCCCTCAATAGTCACTTTGCGAATCTTGTAACTTGTAAGGCAAGGGATACATCGTATAGATGAAGATACCACTGGAAATTTCATGAGCTTTGACGGATGTCTTCCTATTTATTATTATTATCAGTTATCGCAATAAAGCTTGATGAGTTGTATAACGTTCACTTGAAGAGACTTAAGCAAGAACATAATACAACTTGGTGGCAGCAAAAGGGCTTCAAGATTAAACAAGATTTTGCAGAGACGTTCTAACGAAAGGCTTGAAATTCAAGAAGTTTGATTTGCGATGTCCTCTCCAGACGGACATGGATCGGGGACTCCAGGGTCTGCAACTACGGCTATGCAGGGCATAATTATTACCCATCCAGATAAACTAAATTTTGCATGTCCAAATATTTGGCCACAGTGACGAAAAAGATTCGAGAGATACATATTGTCTGTATCTGGGCAAAACAGCAAGAGTGATACCGAGAAAATTTATTTGCTTTTATATGTAATGGGAGATGAGTATGAAAAGATACTGATGACCTTTACAGAGCCAACTACATACCAAACCATGTTGGATGAGTTCGAAAAGCATTTCATACCGAAGAAATATGTTATATTTGAATGTTTCAAGTTTCAGAAACCAGGGGAATCAATTATTGAAACGTTTATCATAAGTTTATATAGCCTTGCTGAAACTTGTAATTATGGGAAAATTAAAAATGAGCTTATAAGGGATCGGCTAGTTGTTGGTATGCTTGATTTGAAGACCAGTAATAATATGCAATTATAAGCTAATTTGACACTAGAAGATGCTGTAAGGATAGCAAATCAAGCTGAAGTCGAAGCTCAGCAAAGTGAGGAACTATCATCTCTGAAATAGATCACAAATCTCTGGTTCAGGTGCTGCAAACCAAACCTTTAGGCAAACTTACTCCAAGGCTTCAAAAGTTCAGAATAAGACTCATGCGCTATGATTATGTTATCCACTATGTTCCAGGAAAGGATCTTACCGTGGCATATGCCTTATCCAGAAATTTTCCCAAAAATCTCCAGAAACCTGAAGATGATGAGCTTATGCATGAGCAAGATGTTCATGTAAGTTTGATAATTCAGTAAGTCCAAATTAAATCTCCATTTCTTGAGGAAATTAAGCTAGAACAAGCTAATGATCCAATTTGCGAAAAACTTGAAGAGTTCTCTTTATCAGGATGGCCCGAAAAACATAAACTCCATGATAAAATTCTTTCCTACTATACGCACCGTTTTGATATTGGCTTTTAAGAAAATCATTTGATAAAAAATTCTAGAATTATTATTCCTTCCAAGTTTACAGCAAAATTGTTTAGAGTTTATTCATCAAGGCATGTGTATGGTGGCTTGGTCTCTTTTCACAAATTGAAAACCTTTTCAAAAATTGCCCAGAATGTGTAGAATTTAGAACTAATCCAAGAGAACCATTCCTCAAAGAACAATTTCCGGAAAGTTCCTGGCAGAAATTAGGTATAGATCTGTACAATTGTAATAGTATTTGGTAAGTTATTGTGATCGACTATTTTTCCAGATTTTTTGAAAATTTTCAACTTAAAACTATGACCGAATTTATCATCATCAGCAGACTTAAGCAACTATTTAGTAGATATGAGATTCCAGAACAGATTCGTTCTGATAATGGGCCTCAATTTCAGTCTGCATTCAGAGAATTTGCTATAAAATATGATTTTTGTTTAATTACTAGTAGTCCCCATTATCCTGCTCCTAACGGAGAAGTAGAGTCAGCTTTAAAAGTACCTAAAAGTTTAGTAAAGAAAAACTCCAAAGACTTGGATTTAGCTTTGCTAGCTTAGCTTATCGCACAACACCTAAAAGATACCAAACAAGCGAATTGTCTAAGCTTTCTATAGGGAACAGTGTTTGGGTAACTGATCTAAGAGAATATGGCATAGTTGTAGCTGTTTCGGATGAACCAAGTTCTTGTCTAATAGAAACCAATTATGGTAAATATCGAGAGAAACAGGTGGCACTTGATTCTAGAACCATATTATTAATCGTAGTTACCCAATCACCTGCATCAGCAATGACAGCAACCAATAGTAGTATTGGCTGTTGGTGCGATTTGCTTTGGTTCGTCTTCGAGGCCAACCAAATTGGAACCAACCGTTTTCAATTGCAAACCGGTGACGTGTCAGGCATCGCTTGGTACGTCTAAATTCGAACCAGCTTCGCGAGTTGGTTCAAATTTTGGTTTGAATTTCGGTTCGCTTTCATAAGCTTAAAACATGGTGTCTTTATTGACAGACCAAATTCAAAAGCTGTCAACCAACTGTTGTCATATCCGAACCAACCAGGCCGAACCCGGTTGCGAATCGAAAACGGCCATTGGTAATAAGTATTCACATAAAGCAAATGACGATGAAAACGAGGAGAGACTCTGGTTGAGCGATAGTTTAGGTAATAATGCTAATGGTAATGCTAATCAACAAAATAATAGTGAAATAAGTGAACGTGTGCCTATTAGAGACATTTCAGCTTATAGCATTTAGTTTCTTTGTTATCTTGAGAAGAGGGGAATGTTCTGTTAGGCTGGGTTCGGTAATTGCATCTGCGAGAAAAATGAGCAAAATTTGATAGATCTCACGTGATTTGAGACGTGAGAAAAGATAAGTGATCACGTGACGTCCGTCAAAATTTGATCTTTTTGCTCGCAGATGCAATTACCGAACTCAGCCTTATTTAACTTTCATATTATTACCTGCTAGGTAAGAGAGCTTGATGGATGACAGAAAATGTCATGAGCTTTGAAGGGTGCCGTTCTGTGAGGGTGCCTTTCTATTAAATACACATTAAATTATTGTCACTTATCATAGAGAAATATAATAAAGTTTTTTTTTTTTTTTAAAGATAATTCCCCAAGTCAAAAATTTAGTAACTATGTTGGCAACACAAGCCTTTTCTACATAAAAAATTTGAAGCATTGACAATTTTACATTGTATTGCCAACATAATGTCATTTTGACTTTTATCTTTAAAAAAAAAAACAGATTTTAGTAGTAAACTACGAGAGACGTTTGTTTAATGTAACAATCTGGAAGTGTGTTTGTGCACATACCCATAGCCTATTTCGCATGGTGTGGCAGATTATTGAACTAATTACTTCGATCGTTTCTGACAACTCTGTTTAATTTGTCTTTGTCAGCAACTTGCCCGAAAATGTTCTATCTTTTTTTAACACATACCAAATACAAAATTTGACAAATGATTGAATCCAAAGACCATCAATCAAAAACTGAATGCTCACAATCATAACGTAAAATTTCTTCTATTTTAGAGAAATGAGAAAACATTATGTGATCATAAATATTAACTAACTAGACAAAACCGACACCAGGGGCGCTAACGTCGACATTGTGCCAGTTAAGTACAGGGGAATGACTTCTCTCGTAGTTTACTACTATTATATTTCTCTATGTCACTTATCATCGCAATAAAGTTTCAAGAGTTTTAGGCTAGTCGCTCTGCCAGAGCGATATCCGCATATTGAACGTAGATAGTTAATTCTTCCTGTGTTTCCGTTATTGATTTTTTTTTTTTAATATGGATCCAGCCGCTGAGTTAAACTCACTTTTGGATTCGGAATCAGATTCGGAAATAAAATAGAATAGTTATTTATGCAACAAGTGTGTAAAGTGAACCTTTTTTCACGAATGTGAATTTTGACGCTCGAGCCGAAGGCGAGTGCGACAATCACATGAGTGAAAAAAAGTGCTTTACGCACGTATTGCATACAAAATTTTTTCTACTACCAATCAAATATGTTTGAAAAAATAGATTTAGACAGATACTTTACGCACTAGTGCGTGAAGTAATTTACCAGAAAAATACTAAATTGACAGTCTTGACATCTGTCATTGACATTACTTTACGAACTAGTGTGTGAAGTGAATTACTTTACGCACTAGTGCGTGAAGTGAAATTTTACGTCTTCTGAATAGTGCGTAAAGTACTCACTTGTCATGTCAACCTGTCAAATTACTATTTTTCTGGTAAATTACTTCACGCACTAGTGCGTAAAGTGAAAATACTTTACGCACTAGTGCGTGAAGAATTTGTCTAAATTTATTTTTTTACAAATATTTGATTGGTAGTAGAAAAAATTTTGTATGCAATACGTGCGTAAAGCACCTTTTTTCACTCATGTGATTGTCGCACTCGCCTTCGGCTCGTGCGTCAAAATTCACATTTGTGAAAAAAGGTTCACTTTACACACTTATTGCATAAATAACTATTTTTTATATAGTTTGTCCGGGATTTTTCAAAAAGTGAAAAAAAAATTAAAATTGTTGCATAGCGCTGAAATTTGGTACGATGGCTTTATTTATTGTTCTCATGAATATACTGCAATTTTATATCATGTGAAGCAATTGAAATTGCAGTATATTCGTAAGAACATTAAATAAGGCCATCGTACCAAATTTCAGCGCTATGGGAGAATTTTAATTTTTTTTTACTTTTTGAAAAATCCCGCGCGACGTTTTCAGGCCAATAAGTCATTGAGTAATTAACGAAAAAAAAATCCGCTGGGGCATTATGAGAGGAATAAATGGGCTGCCGATTGTCGAAAACTGTCACCAAATATTTGGCCCCGTTTAGAAATTACAGCGAATGCAAGAAAGGGGTAGTTTTCGAAGCAATTTACAACTTCCTCGCACATTAGACAAGTTCGTGCTCGCTTAATTTTCAAGCAAAACATTCGAACAAAAAAGCATTGGAGAGTGCATTTCATCAGCAATAATGTGGTATTTGAAAAATTGAAATCGGATTATGCATTCGGCCGCTGCTGCAACAAATGCGCGCAAAATGGCAAAACGTTGATTCAGTGGCCTTGAACAGAAACATGCTAATATTCAAGACGCTGCAGAAAAAAAACTCTAGAAGATAGATGGGTGCTGTCGCTGAGTTTTTTATAGCGAAAAACTTCAGCTACAACATTCATTTGAAACTTTTTGCTATTGGACCATCCCTTTGAGTAGGGTTCTCCATAAACTGCAAATTACCCCTAAAAACCACCCCTAACTATAAACCCTATGGAAGTACAAGGTCGCAAACTTAATATGTTGTTTAGCATATTAAAATGGACCGATCCCCCTAAATAAATTTCAACTTCTAATTATGTTGAGGTAACCCCTCTTTTCAGATCCCCGTTTCTTGGACTAATACATAATCAAAGTCAAATGAAAATTTCTTAACACAAAAATTTCTATATATTCTGGTGTAATCTTCGCACAGTTTTTTCGGGACTGCGCCCGAAAAAACTGTGTTCTTTTCACAGAGAACGCAGCACAGTTAGAGAGAAAATTTTCCTGCGTCTAGTCCTTACAAGTTACTACATGCAATATACGGCACTGCGTTTTTTCATGTACGTTACAAAGTTTACTTGAAGAGACCTACGCAAGAACATAATACAACACCACATTGGGAAAAAAGAAAGTTCAAGGAGACAGTAGATCCTTACATAGAAGGAACGAAAAACATCTACAATAAACTATCATAGGTATTCTAATTCCATGAATAAGGAAACCAATTCGGAACCACACCAAGTCTCTTAACATGGGTTTCCCTAAGAAGGGTCATAATCTCACGAAACCTAATGTATGATGGAAGAGTTTAGGAGTATAAAGCTACATCCTCAATCAATCTGGTAGCGAAGTGGCACTTCGGCACGCGTGCTGGGAAATTGATACCCATCCTCAATGCTGTCAATTTTCAGTCTGCTGTGCGTGTAGTACTGTCACGAACCGTGGTTCAGTATTTTGATCTGAGTTCTCCGAGCATAAATTTATCGTTCGTTTATTTAAAAAGTGTACTTACTCAGTGTAGGCTCATTCATGTTCGATTATTAAAATTTTGAGCCTTCTGATACAGCGTTCAACTACTCTGTGCGCTCGCTGATCACGTGCACACAGAAAATTAATATTCCCTATTGAAGTATGCATTTTTCTTAAAAATATTTTATTATTATAAGAGGTTAATTACTTTGCCTAAGCAGAATGAACTTCTCTCAATTAATGTTTCCTTCTTTGATAAAATCTTTAATTTTCATATAATTTTTTGTTTGATTAAAGTGTTCATTCTTCAATAAATCTCAAATATATATTGAACTGAGAATTTGTTTATTAGTTTAATACGAGAATATTAAACTCTTTAGATAATACAGTACAATTTCTTTCTCCAATGATATGATATATTTCAAGCTAGTAGGAATTGCGATTTTGATATTTAAGAATATTACATTCTCAGTGGAAGCATACAAGTTTCTTTAAATTAACGGATAATATTCATTTGGAGAATGAATTCTTAAGACAAGTATATCACCCCCAACTTCTATAACATTTGTTGCCTGCAGGTAACCAACGACATCTCCTTCACTCCACTAACCACTTCAAAGTTGAAAAGTAAAAACGATTCTTACCGGTTTTTTTGTTATATATAATTATGGAAATGGGAAAAGAAACCATTTGCGACTTCCTTCGCAAAATTGATTGCGAAGAATTTGTGGAAATCTTCGAAAGTAAGTACAATTTAAATATATTTTCATATAGAATATTTTGGGTATCTTAACAACCTGTTATAAACTGCATCCCTTCATTTATTATTTTTGCGATATGGTGCAGCTTGCGTCTGTCTGATGTGAGATTGCATTATAACTTACTTTTTAAGATTATTTTTAAAACCTGGCGTATTCAGTACCTATCTATACCATTTCCAAATTCAAGCGGCAGTAAATGACATTAAATAACCTAAATTGTAAACAAATACCAGCCTTCCTATTGGTTGAAACGCCTTACCTGGACCAATGCGCATGCACGGAGGACATTTGATAGGTTGTAATGAAAATGACCAGTTTGTATCATTTATTGCCGCTTGGATTTGGTTCAGCCATAGTATCTAAAGTCTGTTTTTTTTTTAAAGATAATTCCCAAAGTCAAAAATTTAGTAACTATGTTGGCAACACAAGCCTTTTCTACATAAAAAATTTGGAAGCATTGAAAATTTTACATTGTATTGCCAACATAATGTCATTTTGACTTTTATCTTAAAAAAAAAAAGACTTTAGTTTTTTCCAAATGTTTTTATATGCGCCTGCATTTTTTTAAATTTTGGACATACCTACTTATTATATTGTGTTTGGGTAATTAATGGCCGTTTCCACCAACTAATTTAGGGGAGCCTACTTGAGGCTATACACATTTCGATTGGTAGATTCAGTGCACACTGAGTACTGAGTGTATTTGCATATCTTTTATCAACCTGTAGAAGAAAAGGACAGAAATAGAAAAAAATTGCACTAGACTACCAATCGGGAACGGCATAGGTAAGTCTCTTTGATATCTATGTTTAGGTAGACATTACGAATTTTGTTTTCTTTAGATGAGTTTTGTTCATTTTTTTAATTATTTCTGATTTCAAAAGTAAAATTAATTTTTTTCAATACAACTTTTTCCCCTCTACAGGATGGTTCTGCTAAATTTGAAGTTTCGTACCTATTTTAGCAGTCATCATCAACTACGACCTTGTGATTTTTTATTTTTTGATACCTCCTATATCTGTGATTTTGGGCTAGCATGTTTAAGTAGAATCTTCCTGAATAGCGAGTTTTCTAGTAAATGCTAGTCGTCAAAGACAGATGTTTTACCCATAAAACTGTAACTTTTTATTCTATATTGTGTTTTTAGGCAATAAGATTAGTATTGAGAGCATACCAACACTAATAACAGAATACGAAGTAACGCTATTGCCAAAAATTGGTGATCGTCTTGCCTTTATAAGCCGATATAAAAAATTCATGAACCCGCCCCCAAGCATCATTGACAATGTCAGACAATGAAGATGGAGTAAGTATAAACCAGTAAGTATACAATTCCATTAAAAACAAAAGATAAACAATATGAAACATTGTGTTTTCAGAGAGACAATACAAAAGTTTATTATAAGTAATATACAGGGTGTCAATTTGAAAACTTCCCACCCCTATTATCTCAGAGTAGAAAAATTTTCGACAAAAATCCCTGAAACACGTCAACTCTAATTTGAATGGGGATGAGTTTTTATGCCAAATTCACCTTCCCTCTTTCAACCCCACAGCCCCGAGAGCCACTCCCTAGAAAATTTTAAATGGGAAGGGGGAGTCAAGTGATACATCATTTTGCAGAGTTTTTGATTCCATACATTTTGGTACTAAATTTAAGTCCCTAAGTAACTGTTTCGGATATATTGACAGTTGAAAATTGACTTTTTTGCTACTTTAACAGGCTGTATAACCTAAACGGTTTATTTTAGAGGAAAACCGATCTTACATTCTTTTCTTAGATTTTTATAAACTATCATTTAACAGCAACATCGAATTTAATCCATGATCAAAAATTCCGGTTGAAAATTTAATACAATTTTTTTTAGAACTCTATGTTTATTTTTCGTGTACATACATAATTGACGTTTTCAATTAAAAGAGATGGACAATAAAGTATGAAAACAATCATTTTCCCGCCAACATTTGCTTGCTTGTCAATGCCAGTAGGTATGTATTGGGTGTTTTGAAAGAAAATGTGGGAAAAGTCACTACTTCATTTGCAGAACTTCGCTATGGAGAAAGCGGTGGATTATTTTGGAAGATAACAGCTCCCGCAAACTAAACTTGAACGTAGATTACTTTGTATACTTGATAGGCCGTGGATTTCCCTTTTTTTTGCGAGTATTCTTTCTGATTTTATGTATTCAAAATTTGACAAATGTAGAATTTGATGGAAACTTATGGAGAGACACGTCCGCCGGTAAATAGAAATTATTTTCACAAAAAGGCACACTACACAATCACCATTGTTAGGAAAAAACTTTGAAAAAACCGAGGAAATAATAGTTTCCAGTTTCCACATGTACAATAGTTATTTACCTAACAAATGCGGAAAGTGATACTTTACCGCACGACAGTTGACCGAACGACGCGAAGCGGAGTTCGGTCAAGCCGTTAAGGGCGGTAAAGGCACTTTCCGCATGTGTTAGGTACAAAATTTTACCTATGAGCATCTACATCTCCAAAAAAGGGCATTGATGAAATTAATTATTGAATCAGATTAATTAATGAAATAAGATTAGATTTAGAAATTATCAAAAATCCATTTTCTGGGAAAAAAAAGGATTTTTGATTATAAATATCAAATTCTACTTCTACTAAAGTGCACTTTACCGCACTCTATGCGGTAAAGTGCACTTTACCGCACACTTTGTAGTCCACTTTACCGCATACTATGCTGTAAAGTTAACTTTACCGCACACTATGCTGTAAAGTTGATTTTACCGCATAGTGTGCGGTAAAGTGCTACTTTCCATTTGCAAATACGTGCGGTAAAGTGCACTTTACCGCACGCTCGTAGGTAAAAATCTTTTCAACAAACCACTGTCAGCGGCTGTCAACCGTTGTTTTCATACTCTTTTGGCGTCTGACAGTTTGACGCCAGAGAGAGATGCTTTTAAATTGAAAAGGTCAATTGTATTTGTTGTTCTCTTTTTGTATTTTTGTATACCATTTTTTTTAGAATTCCATGTTTATTTTTTCTGTATACATAATTGGATTTGTTGTTCTTTTTTGGTATTTTTGTACAAAATTATTATGTTTTTTAGAACTCTACTTTATTTTTTCTGTGTACCTAATTGGATCTGTGGTTTTCTTTTTGTATTTTTGTAGATATATATATATTTTTTGTTTTTCAGAATTCTATGTTTATTTTTTCGTGTTCAAATAGACTTTCCCTCATTCTTCAATGAATTTAGAATATATGGCCAAAGTTTTGTTTTATTTAATGTTTTAGTTTCTAACAGGTTAGTTATATTTGAAATAAGTATTTCACTATTTACTCAATATACCTAAGTATATGATAATCTTGACTGAATAATATATTGCAAGTATTTTTTTTTCTTCGATGGATGTTCCAATATACTTGCGGATATATAAGTTTATAATAAACTTCAATAAAGATTTGTAATCTTCAAAAAATAATTCTTTTTTCTGTGTGTGATTACAGCTCCGCTCTGCACGCTCTGCTCTTCGAGCAAAATACCGAACGTAAGTATAACCTGAATTATTTTTTATCGTACTGCGCATGACATAAGTCGGCATGCATCGAAAAAGCTTGTAGCTAATGTCTGCCCAGCGACTCTGTGTCTACGGGGCAACGGTAAGGGGAAAGCAGTTGTAAAAAAAAATGGCCGATTCCATTCATAAAATACCCAGCTGCGTTCGGAATTTTTTGGAAGTGTTATCGTATTGCAACTCCTACACGAAAATCGAAAATGACCAAACCCCTGCCACTGGATATTTCAATATAAATCGATATTCCAAGATGGGAGGATACAATGACAGAAGCCCTGGCCAATAGCGAGACGTGAGGTGACGTTTAGTCCATTGACAACGACATGGTTCCTCGTGGCAACGGCCATCCTGCCAAAAACTCCACCAATCAGGTTCATCCAGGCCGGATGCTTGCCAAATTGTCAAAAACTGATGGTATCTTTAGAAAATGTTTATTTTTTACAATGGACAAAATTGAAGAAAACGTTGAAACTTTTAGCGTTTTATTGGTATCTATATTTTGTTATTAAAAAATGGATTTTCAAATGAACTATACTTCATGCCTAGTATTTTCGCTTTTTTATAATTAAACGTGACAACATGGCACATTTACGCCCGAATTCCTTCCGTAGACTCAGATCCGCTGGGCAAACAATACATCCTCAATCAATCTGGTAGCGAAGTGGCACTTTGGCACGCGTGCTGGAAAATTGATACCCATCCTCAATGCTGTCAATTTTCAGTCTGCTGTGCGTGTAGTACGGTCACATACCGTGCATTCGGTATTTTGATCTGAGTTCTCTGAGCATGAATTTACCGCTCGTTTATTCAAAAAGTGTACTCGGTGCAGGCTTATTCACGTTCGTTCAATAAAATTTCGAGCCCTCTGATACAGCGTTTAACTGCTTTGTGCGCTTGCTGGTCACGTGATTACGGCTCCGCTCTGCTCTTTGAGCAAAATACCGAACGCAAGGATAACCTAAATTATTTTTTACCGTACTGCGCATGACATAAGTCGGCACGCATCGAAAAAGCTGGCAGCTTGCAACAATGACCTATTAACACAGATAGACGGAACAATAAACAATAATATCGGTTGACTACATGCCAGGAACCGCATCTCTCCCCACTACTTATTAATCCTTGTGTTATTTTGTATCTTTCTCTAACACGTGGAAAGCGATTATTTTTCAATGAAAATTAGCAACGCTGCAAAAAAATAAATCCCACCTCGAATTCCACCTTTCCACCAATCAGCGGCTTCTATTCAATTGTCATGTCAAAATGCGACGAGCAGGTATTTTATGACAATTTCCATTTGTCAATCAGTGCGCAGTGAGTGTATCCGCATCTTTTTCTAAAATTATGTAAAATATAAGGATAAAGATACACTTTTGTAGCACTGATTCTGGTTTCATTTTCAGAATTGCCAAGTATGCGATAGTAAAATGGGGGCGGAGTTAGCGGAATCATTTGAATCCCTACTCCTAGCCGCTTTCACACCTAACCCCCCCTGGCCCATAAACATGTAGTCAACCAAAACAAAGCTATTTTATCAATGGGATGTTCTGTCTATCTGTGTTAATAGGTCATTGGCTTGCAACCTTCACTTCGGAATCGACGTGCATGCCAGCACGGAATTGAATTGAGGATGCCAACGTTAAACAACATTATCCTAGCATGCGTGCCGAAGTGCCACTTCGCTACCAGATTGATTGAGGATGGGCCTTAAGTGGTTAAATAAGTTTCACAGTCGAACTTGCAGGTATCGCAACTGTGCGGACCTTGCATGAATCCTGAAAAATATAGAACCAGCGCGACCAGATGTACCTAATGGCGTTTCCGATTAGTAAATTTAGTGCGCACTGAGTGTATTTGCATCCTTTTAATCGACCTGTGGAAGACAAAGAGAGAAATAGAAAAAATTGCACTAAATCTACCAATCGGAAACGCCATAAGTAAGTTATCAATGATTAGGTATTGCTAAAGTATCATTGAAAATCTTATGGGATTTACAGTGTGTTCAATTTTAATGGCATGGAGACGTTTCAATTAAAATTGATGAAAAATTTTCTTGCCTCGACTAGGATTTGAACCCAGGAGCCTCGCATATCCTGTGCAACGCTCTACCAACCGAGCTACCGAGACCTGTTTCATTTCTACCTTGTCGATCAAGTTTATCATAAATTTTAAGTTGTTAATTGTGAGGACCAACGTCAACCTTCGGCGGTTACCCTTGTTATGGGAGTGAGTTAGAAGGTATAAGGGGAACACACTCATTAATGGTTAAAGGGATAATGGATTCCAAACCACCATTAATGAATGTGTTCCCCTTATACCTTCTAACTCACTCCCATACCAACGGTAAGCGCCGAGTTTGCCGTTGGTTTTCACAACTAACAACTTGAGAATTGATGAAAGACTTGATCGACAAGGTAGCTCAATTGGTAGATCGTTGCACTGGATATGCGAGGGACCTATTTTCGAATCCTAGTCGAGGCCAGAAAATTTTTCATCAATTTTAATTGAAACGTCTGCATGCCATTAAAGTTGAACACACTGTAAATTATATAACAGACGATAAAACTTTAAAAAAATTGTAATCTTATCAGTGGCGGCTCGTCAGAGGAGGCAGGGAAGGCAGCGCCTCCCCTGTAAAAATGCTACAAAATGTATTTTTATATAATTTTATTATTTATTTGACAAAAAATCAATGAAATTGTAAGGAATATACAGGGTGTTCCTAAATATCATGTACAAACAAAAGGGGGTGATTCTTTGGTTTATTTTATAACTAAAATTTCTAATAAATATAGGTTTGCAAACGCTTCGTTACCGATCTACGGGGTGTTGAAATTTTAATATAATTTTAGTTTTTTCTTTATAGCTTCTACAATTTTTTAGGGATTTAGCTCAAATTTGGAATATAGGTTACGCAATAGGAGCTGAATGATAGCATATGTCACATGTTTGCCAGAATCTACAGGGTGATGTTTTTTCGGGGTCATGCTCCATTTTCTGCTCTTGAACTTTTTTGCGGTGCGCTGTTGGTCGATTCTAAGAAACAATATATTTTTTCTACCTTATTTAGAAACTTTTTGTTCTCTTGTAGTTTTTTCGTATCACCGACCCTTATCGAGAAAAGATTAAAAAACAAATCTTTGTAACTAGCTAGTTGAAACTAAAGTGACTCAATAAACCTTCTCTACCTACAGTGGCGACAATAGAGGTCCCGCAGCCATATTCTTGCTCATTTTCAATAGGAATCTAGAAGTAAGACAACCCCTCGTCGCCATATTTTTCCTCATTTTCAATATGAATACATTAAAATTTCAACACCCTGTAGATCGGTAACGAAGCGTTTGCAGACCTATGTTTATTAGAAATTTCAGTCATAAAATAAACCAAAGAATCACTCCCTGCCGTTTGTACATGATATTCAGGAACACCCTGTATTTTTTTTTTTTTGGGCTACCGCCCTTAAAAAAAAAGTTACGGGCCGCCGCTGAATCTTATGTTAGTTTTAAAAATGTGTAGCAACAAGTGAATAAAAGCCGTGCGAAATAAATATATTCCGACTCCACCGCCTCTCTCAAAGAAACCCTTTCTATTTTTAGAAGAGAAGGCTAGATAACAGTGGCAGGAGAAGAATCTTTCGATTCTAGAACAACTCAGGACAAAAGTGCGCTTGTGCAGTTGTGCACTGTTATGATTTTATACTATCACAATCACAGAGTGTGATGTTTCTTGTAGAGATTATTATTTCGAGTCACTCATGGACTGTGAAGATGAAATATTCTATATACTGAACAAAAGCAGCAACTCTTACACAGAAAAGCGAAACCAGATCAGATCAATGTAAGAAGCGGGATATGTGTGGAACTAGCCTGAGAGATCAAATAAAAAATGAAGAAAAAAGGAAGAACAGTAGTTACAGATGCGAGTTGAAGAATAGCATAGCTGAACTGAAGTGGCGAAGGGCACTAAAACATATCGCTAGACGACAAGATTTAGCAAGATTACAAATAATGGACAAATCAAAATTAGTATAAAATTATTATGACCAAAGAACAACATCAGTTCACAAACCTTTTTTTTCATTTCATATTTTCAATATATCACTTTCGCTTGAATAATTTATTTGTTTTAATTGTGTCGATGATATAATATTTCGAAAATAAAAAATGATTATTGACACACTAAGGGCCAATACTTTTAATATAGCTTAACGAATTTGACACGTCGTTAAATTTAACAAGGTTTTGAATGGGCCAAGGTCTGTAAGTATGATATGTTAAGAGCACATTCAAACCCCTGATTATTTTTAACAGCTGTCAAATTCGAAAACTGAGAACAAAAGTACCTGCAGTAAAACCATAATTATCTTAATCAATGCACCTTTGTGAGTAATATATTAAGTTTTCAATAGTTTTTACTAAACAGTGGAAAAGACATTGAAGTAGGTACGTATGATCTATAAGTTTTAATTTCTAGAAGTAGTGGTGGTCTTGATGAGGGTAGGTACCTATATTAGAAACTATTGAAACCGGTAAATCCTTATGATATATGTTTGTGAGAATTTTTTTTTATATATCAACCAAATTAAATAAGTTATTTACATTATAATATTCACTAAAATCTTCTTTGAAATATACATATCAGCTTAAAGTATGACATACCAATACTAAAATAAGCTAAAAAAAATTTAAAAAATTTATAAATAAATAAAACACAAAGCGAAACAACATACACTACCAACCAAAATAATAATCATGCAGCTGACCTGGTAAGTCACTCGAAATAATTAGGAAAAAATAAACAAACCCTTTCACGCCTGTAACCAGTAACACTCTTGCACTATTATTGCATAAAGACAATAAATTGAGGGTGGTTTTATATAGCCATTCGCTACCTCAACTCTAAATTTCCTGCGCACTAAGTTTAATATAAGAAATATAAACTAAGAGCAAAACGAGTATCGCGTACTGAGAACAGTGCCTGTAAATGACATCGTTAACGAGAAATTGTGGTGTACGACACCCGTCGACTTCGCAAAAACCGTTTTAAGGGAAAAATTGTGTTTAGTATTTTGCAGCTGCCGAGAGTGACGCTGTTTAACTAGCTATCATAAAAAAATATTCGACGACGATTTTAATATTTCTTTTCTCTCATAAAAACTGGCCTTCGACACTCACTCTGACATTATGTATACTTGGTTCGTAATAGCCAATTTATTAGGACCAATGTTAGTTGGATTTTTATCGTTTCCTGTTATTGATACCTATTTACACTACAAAAAAAAAATGGTCTTGAATGTGGATGAAAATTGACACAGAAATTCTTCTGGCCTCAAGGAAATTCTGTTCATGTGAAAATAAATAGTTCCTCGATATTATCCCGTCTTTATTCCACTTTCAATTAAAATAAACTCCCAATTTTAATTAGGTGACGTAACGGAATAATGAATAATTAAAACTCACCGTTCGGTTTTGATACATTTTAAGCACGCAGATAATACCGCCTTAACAAGGTAAATCCTTTTGAAGTTCATCGTGATTAAATTGTAAATAAGCCCAGGTTAATTGGACAAAGAGACTTCAAACTATGGCTTATATAAAATATGTCACAGTGGAATTAAAAGTTACTCAGTTCTTGTTAAAGTTTTTTGTATAGTTTGTTCATCATGGTTTGATGCAAATTAGTTTGTCAAATCATGATGAGACTAGTAGCATAATTATATAGATCCACGCTGTAACAAAATAGCGCTAGTTAAATCATAGAGTAATAAGGAAGAATCTGCCAAATTGCGCCCGAAAGAGAGATATTGTTGAAGTTGTTCATTGTCTAAAAAACAGAGTTTTCCATCGCACCTGACTTAGAAACTGTTTAGCTTCATGATGAATTTCTTAATGTTTTCGACAGGATCTTTTAGACTTTCCTTTCGGAAATCCTGAACATAATGTTAAGAGATGTGTATATTCCGCTCTTCTAAGATGTAGCACGGTATTTGATATAGCAGCAAATATTACGAAATTTTGCAGGGATCAAAATCAACTTTTTGAGTTCAGCATTTTGGAAAACATTTACCAATGTAATTGAGATTCCCAATATAAAGTGGCACTCAATAATTAACTTTCTGCCCCCCCACAGGTGTTAAATACACCTAATGCTAGAATTAAATTATGCTCAACAAAGCCTTTAAGTTTATGCTTAGATGCTTTACCATTACCAGAAGCAAATTTAAGATTATGAGGAAACAACAAAAAGATATATTTTATAGTACATTTCACGGGTCGTGATAGCTTAACAATGAGCACCGTGAGAGCAGTAAACTTTAAAGTTTCTATGAATTATGGATAGTGATAACAAACAGTATATTTATAGTGTGTCAATGAGACTAGTGGCATGCAGACTCTAGACTATGATTTGAACCCAGGACCCTCGCATATCCAATGCAGTGCTCTACCAACTGAGCTACCGAGACCTGTCTGTCTCATTTCTACCTTGTCATCAATTTTGAGTTGTTAGTTTTGAAGACCAACGATAACCGCCCAGGGTTACCGTTGGGAGTGAGTTAGAAGGTATGAGGATAACACATTCGCAATTAATGGCTGTTGGAATCCATTATCCTTTAAACCACAGATGCATAGTCCACATATAGCGACATCGGCAGGCATCAGGATAGGACGCCCAACCATCAAAATCAACTAAATAAGTACTATTCACATAATGGCTTCACTAATAACAAGATTAATGAAAGATTTGGCCAACAAGGAAGAAATGATACAGTTCTCAGTTAGATGGTTGAAATCCTAGTCGAGGCAAGAAAACTTTTCATCAATTTTAATTAACGTCTGCATGCCACTAAACTCATTGACACACAATAAAATATACCACAGACGATAGAACTAAAAAAAATTATATTTATAAGTAGGTAGTTATTCTGGAACAGGAACAAAACATTCGAACTAGGTAAATACTATTTGATAATTTGACTGGTTAACATAAGAATGTAGGTAAGTCAAGTAGTCTAATTTCCGTTCATCCCTCTAATATCCATAAACTTTCATAATAGACGCTAAGTGAACCGTACAGCGGTGTACGAATCCCTTTCAAACATTATTATCCAGGAATTCGGTGGCGGATTATCTAGCCACACAAATTGGGGGACGCGTCCCCTATGAGACCACGCCCCGACGCATCTTTATATTGAGAGCGCACGCGTCCGACAAGGGGATGCAGGTACGCCTTTACTATCATATTTCATATTTTCAACCCCCCCGTAAACCGCGGGACTGCACCTTCATTACCTTTTTATTGCGAGAGGGAAAAGTTAATTTCACTCGGGTGAACTAAAACCCGCCTCGTCTGTTATGTATAGGCGGGCTGTTATAATATCGAGTTTATGGCTTTTACTTGACTTTTTATTAATAAATGTAATATGGCATATTAAATTTAAAATTGAATACTTTTGCTTATATTGATGGAAAATTATTGAGATTGTTCGCCTAAAAATATTCAAAACGGACATGGCTAATATGAGAGATTAACAGTACAAGAATCGAGTAAAATCTTAGATAATTCCCCAAGTCAAAAATTTAGTAACTATGTTGGCAAGACAAGCCTTTTCTACATAAAAAATTTAAAAGCATTGACAATTTCGCATTGTATTGCCAACATAATATCATTTTGACTTTTATCTTAAAAAAAAAACAGACTTTACAATCCTAAATTCGTATAAAGAGTGGTTCCGAAACCCTTCTTGAGACGGTTTTTGGCAGGGTGGAACAGACCTAGTCTCAACAAAAATTATATAGTTCTGGAATCTCGTACGCTGTCCTGGAAGCTGGCTTCTCAAACCCTATTTTTAGAAAGATTTGCTCATTTATTTACATAACAAGTCTTGCTTGGTTGTATGTATGCCACAATGCTTCGAAATAAGTGTCCTATTTTTGAGTTTATCCTATGACAAATAAAGCTCATAATAATTAGACTTGAAGGAAGAGAATCTAATTTTTGCAACGTCGGCAAGTTGAAATTGGGTTTTATTGAATCCTGATTATCATAACCGCCCATCGACACCTAGGTTCCCAAAATCAAAAATATTTGTCGTCTATAAAATCTTTACAGTTCCTACATATAGGTTGTAATTTCTCCAATTAAAGTTAGAAACAGTGCTTTTTTTCAACGTAATTTGTGGATGCATGACACACCGTTATTTATTATTATTTCTAAAATACAATATATTGTAGAAACAAACGGTAGTGGTACTACCTCGAGAGATTTTTCGATCAAAATTTTGATCACTTGTAGATGAGCATTTACATTCGTACCAAATCCAATTGCTCACATCAGATCTGTAAATTACATCTTCCCTTTTTATGTAATAAGATTTCCATATCATTTGGTAGGGATCTATGCTTTTCAATAATTTTTTGCTGCCTAATTTGACTGCTTCAATTGCGATTTGATCCTCTCTCGGAGACTTAATTTGTCGGACAAGGGGTTGCCGGTACTTAAACTTCTCTTATTGTGGTGCATTGTTATTGTTAGTTGATCTTTCATTCCGGTATCTGCACAGTTCCTCTTAGAATGCCACCGTCATATCTAGTGGCATCATCCTCTCTCTTTGTTGGAAACTACACGAGTTTACAGATACAGTTTTATTTAAATCAAAGTTTAACTTTTTTATTTATTATTTCCACTAAATTATGCAATTTTTAATTTTTAACTCAAAAAGATTCTGCTATGAACAATATTCAATTTTTTTTTTTTTAAATTCCATTTTGACGTTTAAAAATGACATTATTGAACGCATAACAATAAAGGTAAGTAGACGTTTATCACCTCGGTGATTTAAAAACATTTTAACTCACTCTCAGCATTTTTAGTCACTCTGCCCAACTAAAAATCTGAAACCTCAGTGATTTGAAATATTTTTAACTCACTCCCGGCATTTTTCCTTGTACTTTATTTTTTAAATTTCCACAAAATGGGATAACATTTTGTGTACATCACGTGAGTTAAAATGTTTATTCATTCGAAGAAAATTAACCCACTCGTGGGTTAAACTTTCTTCTCATGAATAAACATTCATTTAACTCACTTGGTGTATAAATAACTATTAGACTATTTCACTAGAGTGTTTTACACTAGCAAAATGTCATAGGAACGGCCGGTGTCCTACTGACAAAACTCCTACCTGTTCCTACCTGGACAAAACCAACATTATGGTTTTTCAGCGACAAAATTTTGTGTGGTTAATGTAAAAAACTATTGAGTTTGACAAGTGTCACCTAAAGAAAATAAAATTTCCAAGTGAAAATTTCCTTCAGGTGAAAATACAGAGGCGTCTTGCAATTTTGGACCAATAGGAAGCGAATTACAGCGGTAATTTTGCACAAGTGCAAATTATCGATAATTTGCACAAGTGCTAATTACCGATAATTTTGTTTCAGGTATTTTTTACCTGACTCAACGGGTTATTATCAGCTTTGTACACAGTAAAGATTAGACTATTTCCAAATCGACGTTTGAGATCTCTTCGTATTGATCGGCGTAAGGTCTTCGATGCTTTTATGAATATCAGCCGCTGAACTCTTCCCAAAACGAGCCATATTTGCTTCCGTTTTCCATTTTCAGCCGTTTTCTATCCTTAGGATATAGGCCTCTTTCAAATTTGACCATTGTCTTCGGTTTTGCGCAACTCGGTACCAATTCAAGCCTGCAGCCCTCTTTATATCGTCGTACCATCTTTGTTGGGGTCTTCCAACACTTCTCCTCTCTTCCCAAGGACTCCATCTAGTGATATACCTGCTCCAGTTTTCTGTATGTCTGGCCACGTGTCCTGCCCATTGC